AAACACTACTGAAAGAAACTAAAGAGGACACAAAAAGGTGGAAAGACATACTATGCTCTTAGATGGGAAGGATTAACATCGTGAAAATGTTTGTTCTACCCAAAACAATCCACAGATTCCATTCAATCCCCATCAAAATACCAATGACATTCTTCACAGAAACAGAAAAAGCAATCCTAACATTCATATGGAATGACGAAAGTCCTCAAATAGCCAAAGCAATCCTGAGAGAAAAAAATAAAGCCCTAGACATAACACTATCCAACTTCAAATTATATTTAAAAATTTTTGTAAACAAAGCAGCATGGTACTGGCATAAAAACAGACACTTGGATCAATGGGACAGAATAGAAAACCCAGGAATCAACCCACATACTTGCAGCCAACTGATCTTTGACAAAGGCAGTGAGAACATACGTTGGGGTAAAGACGGCCTCTTCAGTAAGTGGTGCTGGGACAATTGGGCATCCACATGCAGAAAAATAAAACTAGACCTGTACCTCTCACCATATACCAAAATCAACTCAAGATGGATTAAAGACTTAAATATGAGACATGAAACCAGTAAAATAAATAAAACATAGGGAAAAAAACTCCAGATAATAGGACTGGGTGAAGACTTTATGAATAAGACCCCAAAGCACAAGCACCAAAAGAAAAAATAAATAAATGGGATTATATCAAATGAAAAAGCTTCTGTACAGCAAAGGAAACAACAGAGCAGAAAGCCAACCTATAGAATGGGAGAAAATATTTTCAAACTCTGCATCCAACAAAGGATTAATAGACAGAATATACAGAGAACTCAAACAACTATACAGTAAAAAAACAAAAAATCCAGTTAAAAAATGGGCAAAGGAGATGAATAGACATTTTTCAGAGGAAGATATACAAATGGCCAAGAGGTACCTGAAAAAATGTTCAGCATCACTAGTCATCAGAGGAATGCAAATAAAAACCACACTGAGGGCCGGCCCGGCAGCGCACTGGAGAGTGCGCCGCTTGGGAGCATGGCGGCGCTCCCGCTGAGGGTTCGGATCCCATGTGGAGACCGGTTCCCGCTCACTGGCTGAGCACGGTGCAGGTGCAACACCGAGGGTTGCGATCCCGTTACCGGTCAAAAAGACAAAAAGGAGAAAAAAAAACACACTGAGATGTCATCTCACCCCAGTTAGACTGGCCATTATGAAAAAGAGCAAGAATAACAAATACTGGTGAGGATGTGGGGAAAGGGGGAACTGTTCTACACTGTTGGTGGGACTGTAGATTAGCACAGCCATTATGGAAAACAGTATGGAGGCTTCTCAAACAACTATAGATAGAACTACCATATGCTCCAGCAATCCCACTACCAGGCATATATCCAAAGGAACAGAAATCATCATGTTGAAGGGATACCTGCACTCCCATGTTCATTGCAGGTCTATTGACAATAGCCAAAATATGGAACCAACCTAAGTGTCCATCGATGAATGACTGGAGAAAGAAAGTTGGTTTATATACACAATGGAATACTACTCAGCCATAAAAAATGTATGGAATTCTGCAGCAACATGGATGAATCTGGAAAAATTATGTTAAATGAAATAAGCCAGACAAAGAAACAGAAATACGGCATATTCTCACTCATAACTGGCTGCTAGGAAGGACGGAAAGAAGGGAGGGAGTGAGGCAGGGAAGGAGGGAAGAAGGAAGAAATTAAGGAAAGATAGAAAGAAAGACTACAACAATAAGTTGAACTTTGAGAAGGAGAGAAAAAACCTAAGGGTATTAGAGATGGAAGGGAGAGAGGGAGGGGATTTGGGAAGTGATAGGTCAGGCAAAGTGCATAAAGGAATATCATGAATTGCAAGAACGAATATGCTAATAATAAATTTTTTAAATTAAAAAAAGTTTGTGAGAAAATATAATTAAAAGATGATATAAATCTTTCCATGAATTTTTTGAAGCATTCTCTCTCTCTCTATATATATACACACACACACGCGCGCACACACGTGTGTGTGTGTGTGTGTATATACACGTGTGTGTGTATATATATATGTATATATATTACTTTTATAATTCCATATCCTCACAAAGTTTCCCATATATATATATACACACACACACACGCATGTGTGTATATATATATGTATATATATTACTTTTATAATTCCATATCCTCACAAAGTTTCCCTTTCCAGCTCTGGGAAACAAAGTAGCCATTTTCTCTAATTTGAAATATTACAGTGCTCACATGCTCTGCCAAATAGCTGTACCTCACCCTTTTTTCTACATTTAACACATAATTCGACATCTCTTTTTCACTGGTCCTTTATCAGGCAATTATCCTGTATCAGGGAGTAAGCCACCCCAAATCCCATAATAACCCAAACTAGCACCAAAAAATTTATGTACTTAGCTCAGAGCAAAATAGCATTTATTCATAGTCCTAGCTCAGAGCAAGATAGCATTTATTCAGAGTCCTAGCATGTGCAATGATCGTTTCTTAGAACACAGCAAATTAGAAACAAGGCATTAGAAGAAATAATGCTCAAGATGTTTGAGAAGCTACAGAAAGTTATTGCTGGTTGCCTAATAGAGAGGGGATTGAGAAAGATTCTACAAAGATGATGAAAAATCTGAATTAACAGAAACAAGAAATAAGTGAGAAGTCTGGGGTGATATAAGCACAAGTATTGCCTAGTTGAGTTAATGTTAGCTTCTGTAACAAAAATCCTCCAAATTTGAGTGACCTGGCTTAACAGAATAGAAATTTATTTGTGGCTCATAAAACAGTCCCAAGCACATGTTACTAGTCTGTCGGAGGTTATGCTCCACACAGTGATCTGGGCTTCCTCTGCTTTACAGCTCCACCACCCACAATATCATCCACATGTAGCAGCAGAAGGCACAAAGAGTGAATAAAAAAGTCGTGCCACATCATATCTGTTCACATTTCACTGGTGTGGACAAGTTCACTGGCCACATCTAGGTGCAAAGGAGTTGGTGAAATGTAGTCTCTGGCTGGCCTGATGTCCCCTAGCAACAGCTCCACATGGGCGGAGGCGTGGGGGATAATATATTGTTGGACATGTATGTGGCTTAAAATTCTTTAGTAGCCCCTGAAGATATCATTTTATTATTTAACAATTAATACACAAAACTATTATATGGTGTTATGGCTTGAACGTTTTTTGTCTCCTGCAAAGTTCATGTTGAAAAACAATCCCCACTGCAAGAGTTTTGTTTTGGGAAGTGTGGCCTTTAAGAAGTAAATGGTCACAAGGACTCCTTCCCTTATGAATGGGATTAGGTGCTTTTATAAAAGGGCTTGATGGAGGAATCCTCTTTGTCCTTCTGCCTTCTGCTGTGTGCGGACTCAGCATTTCTCCCCTCCAGAGGATGAAGAATTCAAGGCATCGTCCTACATGCAGAGAGCAGCCCTTATCAGATGCCAATAACTTGATCTCGGAGTTCCCAGCTTCCTTAACTGTGAGAAATGCATTTCTGTTCTTTATAAATTAGCTAGTCTGTGATATGCTGTTATAGCAGCACAAACACCCTTAGGCACATGGCATGTGCTATTAGCTGGCTCACACAATATACATTCCTTCTTTCATTTCCACTAGCCTCCCTCTCCTCTCTAGGTCAAATGTTAAATACTTGTTTTCCCAGTGTCCCTAATAGTTAAGAATAGCCATATGACAATGTCCTGGCCAGGGAAATCTAAGCAAAATTCACTAGAAGCACCTGGAATAGATTTTGCTGTTGAAATAACATTCGGAGATTGCTTTACCGTGATTTCTTCCCCTTTCTCTCTACCTTCAACTCCAACGTTTTTGAAACTGTGGTGACCACCTTATGGACATGAAGGGAAAGGCCAAGAATATTGTAGTAATGATGACCTAGATTCCTGAAGACATAAGGCCACTGAAACAACACCAGCAACCCCCTACCTCCAAACTCTTTATAATGGAAGGATTAAAACTATCTTTATGGCAACATTAGTTGCCTTTTCTGTTACTTAAAACCAACTATACACCTAAAAGATTCATATTTTGTTCATGTAAGATGGAAGAAAACATAAATATAGTAATATTTCCATTCATAATAAACTTTCAAATACATTAATGCTTAAATGAGAAATTTTATTGTATTATTTATTTATTTATTTAAAAGTCCAGTTTTATTCTTGGACAACATTGTTACACACATACATCAAACAGGCCAAAATAAATAAATAGCAACTTCACAGACAAAAAAAGGAAAAAAAGAAACCTTTTATCTTTGGCCTTTATAAGCATCTCTTACAAACCAAGTACTTATAGTACAGCTCAGCGCATACACAAAAAAAGTTAGCAGAATGTTTGGAATAAGATTGTTTAATTGTTGTTGTTTTTGCTTTTTTTTTTTTTACAAGTTTTTTTTTTTTTCCTTTGAGATTATAATGAATATGGTCACACCAAGTCAAGTCAGAAGTAGTACAAGTTTTTTTTTTTTTTTCCTTTGAGATTATAATGAATATGGTCACACCAAGTCAAGTCAGAAGTAGGACAGAGAAGGCTCCGAAGGCTGGTTTGGTCACCCGAGATCCTTATAACTGGCTGACACCTAACATTAAGTACAAAAGTACAAAATGTAAATAAAAAATACAAACAAATTTTCCTTTTTTTTTTTTTTTTTTGTCTTTTTTACTGACCGGCAACGGGATTGCAACCCTTTTTGTCGCATCCGTACCGGGGACCAGCAACGGGATCGCAACCCTTGGTGCTGCACCTGCACCACGCTCAGCCAGTGAGCAGGAACCGGTCTCCACATGGGATCCGAACCCTTGGCGGGAGCGCTGCCGCGCTCCCAGGCAGCGCACTCTCCAGTGTGCCACCGGGCCAGCCCACAAATTTTCCTTTCTAAAGTACTTTTAAGAAAAAGAGCTGGGCCTTGGAAAATTTGGTTCTTTTTTGCTTCCCTGTCGCAAATTCTCTTGTGGTTTGGTTGATGGTGGGAGTGCGTGTCACCTGCAGATGGCGCTACCCGCGGCGGGGAGGCGGGTGGGTGGTGTCTCCACTCCAAGGTGACCACGTTTAGATTCTGAGACTGGTAGTGGAGGGTGAATTGGTCACTGCGGCTTTTTTTTTCTCTTAAGTTTAACTTTTTCTTTTTTTGCTGTCTAGTCATCCTCATCAGTCTTCTGCTTCTTGGTATCAACATTTCTTCTTCGTCTACCTCATTGTCAGCCTCTTGTTCCCCATTTTCCTCGTTGGCGTTCCCATTAGCAGGGGCATTTCTTCCCTTCTCTGCCTCCTTCACAATTTCCTTCTTCTCCGTTAAGTCCTTTGTGGTGACCTCGGAGCTGCTGTCCACGGCCACGTCTCACAGGGTGGGGTACACCGGGGATCCCATGCAATGGAAGGGATGCTCCAGACCTGCGTTCCATCACTGCAGCCAATCATAACTGGCAATGGTGGTTCATTCCCAGTGCTATGTATTTCATGAAATTCCAAATTTCTTGATGTATCATTTAAATCTGCGTTTTCAAATCTGACCCAGACTATTTTCTCCTTTTCTTCTGTTGGAGTGCTCCACTGTAAGCCTGTGGCACAACGTCCTGTGGAAAAGTCACAACGCTTTCCATGTAGGACTGCTCTGTGACAGCCTGGGGGTGAATCACAACTCCACCAGTACAACCACTGGGTCTTCTAGGGGAGTCTGTAGCCATAGCTTCACACACAAAAACCAGCCACTCCACCAGTAAATGCTCTAAATGGGAAATTTTAAATCATGTAGAAAATACGCTTGTAGTGGATTGAATTATGTTCCTCAAGTATTATGTATTAGAAACTTAGCCCCGCTGTGATGGTTAAGAGGGTGGGAAATCCTAGTATAGTAATTGAAAGGTGGAGGCTTGAAGAGGTGATTGGATTGTAGGATCATGCCATAGTGAATGGATTAAAAATGGAGGTCAGGGGCATGGTTCTGAGGGCTTTAAAAGAAGAGGAGAGTCTGTCTCTCTCTTTTGCTTTCTCTGCTTCCACCATCATGCAATGTGAGACCTCTGGGTCACTGTCACCACCAGCAGATGGACTTTGGATTCTCAACCTCAGAAACTGTAAGCAATAAATTTCATTTTATTTATAAATCTCCCAGTTCCAAGTATATTGTTATAAGCAATGAAAACGGACTATTACAATACTTAAGCAAAACAGACAACTTTCTACAATATTGACCCTTAAAATGTCATTTTATTCACTTTCCATCACATCTAAATATACTATTTCATATATAAGTCATACACATACATTTATTTAACATGAAGATATAGTATTTTCAATGTCTTTATCAAGATTCATTCTTTATTTAAAGCCAAAATCTTGTCATGCAGAAAAGATGTAAAATAATGTAAGGAATATAATAGCACATTTTCTCTTTCAACTATAAATAATATGAGGGTATTTGAAAAAGTTTGTATATAAATGAAATTTAAAAATAATACAAATTGTTTCATGAACTTTTTGAAGTGCCATCATATAAAACATTCATGGATTTCAGTGTGACTTTATCAAAAACAAACTTTAATAGGGTTTGTCATTTGTTTTAAGAAGAAATGTGTTCATTTGTTTTCTGTTAATGATAAATCATAAAAATAATACAAATTGTTTCATGAACTTTTTGAAGTGCCATCATATAAAACATTCATGGATTTCAGTGTGACTTTATCAAAAACAAACTTTACTAGGGTTTGTCATTTGTTTTAAGAAGAAATGTGTTCATTTGTTTTCTGTTAATGATAAATCAATCTTCTGATATAAGTGGTTTTCATATATTTCACCTTTTCCTGAAGAACCCAAATGACTTTTTGGTTTTAGACCAACTATTCCTGTTTTCAGCTGTCAGTGGGCACCTGGGGTATAATTGGAAAGGACTTTGTGACTTCAGCCCTATGGTGTTGAGAGTCATGAAAACTAGGACAAAAGCCAACGTATCTCCTCACTAGTGACCACAGCCAGCTGCACAAGGGCCAGGATGGCTCAGCATACACATCAGAACACAGTCATCTGTTCAGCACTGCTCCACGCCCTACAAACACAGCAGTGAATAAGGCAGACACAATCCCTGCTCTACAGAGAAAGAATCACCATGGATAGAGGCAGACAATAGCATGTTCACATAAAAATGAATAATTTCAGATACCAAACAATGCTGTGTACAAAATAAAGCAAGATAATGGTAACAGGAGGTGGGTTTTGTGGCAATGGCAACTTTAGCTAGAGTGACCAGAGAATGTGTTTCCGTGGAAGTGGCATTTGTGCTGAGACTTGAAAAATGAAAAGGATGGAGCCATGTGCAGGTTTGGGGGAAAGAATATTCCAGCAGAAACAGAAAATACAACATCCTTAAGACTGGAATTCTTACTGAACTGAATGGGGTTTCTTTGCCTGCTTGCAACAGAAGACAATTATCAAAGCACAAGTCTTCACAGTAGAGGTTAAAATGTTTATTTTCAAAGGCCAATTGAGAAGACAGGAGATTTGTATCTCAAATCTGTCTTGCCCATGGCAGTGGGAAAGATGGAGTATTTATGGGGAAATGGTCAGGGATGGGAGGAGGATCTGTGCAGGTGCAAACCACCTGAATACCTCTTTAGGGTCAGAAAATGGTGGGATCTGGAGGCAGAGGTTTTGGACATTTGCACAGGCTCAGTGGAGATGTCTGTGGGATCAACCAACCTAGCTCAGTTTGTGTTGGGCCAAGCTCACTTCAATGATCCTTTTCAGGCACACATCATTAGGCACGCAACTTGTGACTTCTGTACCAGAAGCATTATCTTAAAAGGCATATAGGAAAAAAACAAAATGAAAGGTTAGTTGCAGAATTTTACTGAAAGAATGAGCAATTTAAACAGGAAATGTATTTTAACTGAAAGCCACAGTTACAGAATGAGCTTGGCATATTCCATGACCAGAAGGGGTCCAGGGTATCTGTCAGCTATTTCTAAGATAATGTTATGTAACAGATGGTCTCAAAACTCAATGGCTTATGGGTGAGCTGGGCTTGGTCCAGAATTCAGGTCAGGTTCATGTTTTCCCACAACTCCTTCTGGAGCCCAAACTAAAGGCTCAGAGGGTCCCTCCATCATGCTCTTCTTGTAGAGATTCACAGGACTGAGAGAGGTCAAACCAGACCCAGCAAGCTCATTTGAAATCTCCACAAGCATTGCAAACAAGGAAAATCACATGGTTAAGTCCAAACCCAATGGAGGAGGGAGATGCTTGACCCACTTTTGTGCCTTGCAAGGCCACATGACAGAAGGAGGGAGTGAAGAATTAAGAAAAATACTCTGATCTACTGCAGCCAACACTGACAGTGTTGTGAATAAATGGAAACTTTACAGGTTTGTTAAAGAAGAAGCTGAAGCCAGATAAAATGGGTTTTGTGAGCATGATAATCATTCTGAATTTTATTTTAATTATAATGCAAAACAGGGAGATTTTAAGTAGGGAAGTAAGTTGATCTGATTGATGTTTTTAAAAGATCAGCAGTTTCTGGTGTGGAGAACTGGCAGACTCTCGGAAGTCCAGAGAACTGTTCAGAGGCCTCCACCCTAGAATAGATGAGTCACATTGGACTTCAATTAGCACAATAGCAGAGGAGAAGTAAAAAGAATGGTCGGACTCAAGGTGTATTTTGGAGGTACAGCCAACAAAACTCACCTGATTATGTCTCATGAAAAAAGAGGAAAATCAGAGATGATGTCCAGGTCCTTGCTTGAGCAAGATGGTAGAGAGAGGTTGCAGAAGACAGGGGAGAAGCACTTTAGAGTCGACTGTCTGGAGCGGGACTTTGCTATCCGGAAGTCTGTTTTGGACATGTTAAACCTGAGAGAGAAACTAGACACCCGAGCAGAAGTGTTTGGTCAGAAGCTGAGTTAATGAAACAGGCATGAGGGGAGAGAACATCTCTGGATCTATCAAGAGTCTTGAGCACATAGGAAGTATGTAATGCCATGGACCTAGATGAGGCAAATTAGGAAGAAAATGTGCATATTGTAGAGAGCTCAAGAAGCCCCTAACACATGTCAACATTGAGCCATCTCCCAGAGAAGAAGGAACCAACTAAGGAGATTGAGAAAGAGAACAACATGGGACAGAAATACGGGAGAGTGTGGTGTTAGGAAAGCTAAGAGAAAACTGCTTCAGGAAGGAGCAATTTTTCAAATTCAAATTCCACAAATGGACTGTGGATCTGGCAGGAGGTGCTCAGGGTGAGCCATTAGGAGACCCATACATAGTAAGCCATTTTAGTTGAGTAGTGTGGAAAAGACTGTGTAGTGTGTAGAGGAGAAAGACAGGTTTGTTTTGTTTGTTTGAATGGGCTCTAGCAGGTGATTTTTCTGTATTGATGGGAATAATACGGTACAGAGGAGTATATAAGAAGACAGAAAATCCTTGAGCTGAGGAGAAGGATTAGAACCTAAAACACAGGAGAAGGGATTGGCCTTGACTAAGAGCAAGAATAGATGCTCCACTAAAAGAGAGGGAAGGTAGGCTCTGGAATCAGACGCAGGTTAGTTGGCAGATCTCAGGGTAAGAAGGTAGCTCGTGCTAGCCTAATTATTTCTGTAAGCCCGCACCTAGCAGGGGGTGTGATGGAATGCCTAAGCTTGGCAGTTAGACACTTCTAGAAGAGCATCCTCATTATCTCTGCCTGGTACTCCTGTCCCACTCAACCCAGAGAGGCTGCCCATATGCTAGCCCAGCGAGAAAGCCTGGTACAAAGGATTCCAGCAGGGGTGCAATTCCCAGGGCTCAGCTGGTACAGAGAAACATCACAAATGCCTATAGAAGGCTTGGCCAACTGTTCAATGTTGGGGAGAGCAAAACATTGTAATTATGACTAATTTTGAACATCCTTGGCAGCTCCATTTGTACTCTGCAATCCAGGCCTGAGGTCATGCTCTTTCTGGCTCCTTCAGCAACTGGTAGAAATAGATACAGAAAAATCATTTCCATTAGCATGCAATTATCATGTAGTGGATGCACACCCTGCTCTGCCCTTTTGAGGCTGAGACCCTCATTTCCCTAACTTCCAGGAGCGCAGGCTGCTAATGCTCACAGAAGCATTCTTCTCTGGGAATTTCAATAAGGACAAGAGAGCTGCTCAACATTTTACCTTTCCCCAGAGGCAACCCAAATCCAATGAAAGTGTACAAAGTCTCTGACCTTCGTTGATCAGAGACATTTCCTTTGGTTGCTTGTGCTTTGGGGGTCATATTCATGAAGTCTGTGCCCAGTCCTACTTCCTGAAGTGTTTCTCCTATGTTTTCTTTAAGAAGTTTTATTGTATCAGGGTTTATATTTAATTCTTTAATCCATTTTGAGTTGATTTTAGTATGTAGTGAGAGGTATGGGTCTACTTTCGTTCTCCTGCATGTGGAAGTCCAGTTTTCCCAGCACCATTTGCTGAAGAAGCAGTCTCTTCCCCAGTGTATAGGCTTGGTGCCTTTGTCAAAGATCAGATGGCTGTAGGTGTGTGGGCTGATTTCTGGATTCTCTATTGTGAAAATGTCCATACTAGCCAAAGTGATATACAAATGCAATGCAATCCCTATCAAAATTCCAATGACATTTTTCTCAGAAAT